ATCAAGAACAGCAAGGTACAAGTAACCCTAATAGGAGCATGAAGTAGTTATAACAAGTATGAAACGCTAACAGATCATGAACAACAACGAACAAGAAACCCTAATAGGTTCAAGAAGCACCACAAAAAAGAAGATTGGGGGTCGATTTCACCTTGGCTCGGGGTCCAAACAACGGAGAGGAGGCAGATCTGGAAGTAGAGGATACAGATCGGGAAAAAGACGAAGCAGATGTGGACGGAGAAGAAGAGGAACACCGCTGCCACGGAGTCCCAGCAGCAGCCGGAGCGGGGACGCGGCGAAGAAACTCGGCGCCGGTGACCTAACCCACAACCAGCCAGAGGTCGCCGCTGCCGCCACGCACCACAACTCACCGCCGGTCTCTCACGAGGGAGGTGGAAGAGCAAGCACCGAGTGGAAGAAGGAGAGAGTGGAGAGTGGGAACCCGTATATAAAGGCCGGCGAAATCGCCGCCATTTCACTTCGCGCGCGGCGGCCAGAGCGGGAGCGGAGAGCGGGGACGCGCGCGAAGACGTTTCCCCTTCCCGCCAGAGCCCGCGCGAGCCACCCCGCCGCCGCCCAAAATCGCCCGCGTGCGTCGCAGACGAGCTCGGCTCTGAAGAAACGAGGGTTTCGGTCGTTTCCAGAGAGCCAGGCGGAGAGGTCGAGTGTTGCTCTACGAAGCCAGGCTCGCTTGCGGGCCATCGACCACAAACATGGCAACTTGCAGCCCACGGGCGCAGCCGGGCCTCCGGGCCAGGGTCGCAAACGCGCCCCTAACGATTATATGACCCACGGGTATCGCCATCGAGGACAGAGCTATCCCTGGACTTAAGGTGGGTTGGGTTGATTGACTGGAGGCAACATCTTACCGGGGTTCTTTACCTACTTGACATGCAGGGCATGGATGTACTTGTAACCAGATCATTTAGGAGTTTGTTGTAACAAAATAGAAAACTAATTAGCCAAAACTTATCTTATCCCTGATCGGCATCCTAGCAACCTTAGCATCTAGCTCCGGCAACCCTAGCATCCTCAACATAGTGCGCACAAGCAATACAACACAACCACCATTATACATTGGACGTATGGCATGATTTGCCCGAGCCAATATAAATTTGTGTCATATGTGCTATCATCTTGATCGGCTACCGTATAATATGGCCCATAATCACAGCCAGCGAACACCACCACCAACTCCTCCCCCGTTGACAGAAAGTCAACTAGTGCTTCAAGAGGCCACCTCACAAGATGGCTTCGCCTTCAGCAACAGTCTAGAGGCCTCAGATGGCACCATTATTAAGCAATTTCATCCTAATCTCAATGTCACAACATGCCGCTTTATGTGAAAAATATGTGTTTTTATTCGTAGCTTCATGCGTCTTTGAAGTTGAGTCTATCGTGCCTGATCGAGAGGCATAAGCATGAATGTCTAGTCATCATCTCTCCGTTCATTGTTTGGCACTAAACGGCTTAATTCATAAAAGCCCTATTTTTCACATGCAGCAATAAGTATGTAGTTTCCTTTATAAAGTATGTGGTCAGCTTCATATTTTTTATATAACTAGATACATGTCCGTGCGTTGCACCGGGGCCATAATTTTTTTTGACTAAACCTCACTAGGACGCGTGACCTCTAATATCATTGTTATTTACCTCCGTAGATCCGGCTTGTTAAGTCTCTAGATTTCATATGAAATGTCTATAACGCCTTTTTCTTTTTTTTTTTTTTTTATTCCTTTTTTTTCTTATTCTCTCTCTCCCGTATCCTATATTCCCATCGGCTGTCGCGGGACGCTTCTCTGGCATCTCCTAACCGCACGGGACCGGGACGCCATCTCGCGCATGGGATACCCCTCCGCGTACCGCAACAGACACCACTCCATCCCCGCGCTGGCCTCGTGCCCTTGCCCTCGCTGGCCTCCTCGTCCTGCAACGTTTGTTCCAGCGGCAACGGCACCCCCTGGCCCCGGCAGTCTACGGCCTCCACGCCCGCACGTCCGTCCGCGTCCAGTCAAGCGTCGTCGTTGCCTAGGTTTGCGCCGGGACACAAGTGAGCGGGGTGAGAATGGCGGTACATTATGTCAGACGTTCAGACTCGGAGTCGATTTCGTTTCCGTAATCTCTTGTGGAAATGGTTGATGCAATTCATGATTGATTTTCTTTCCTTTTTATTATTCTTTTGTTTGCTAGCAACGTTTGCTACGACTGTTATGGGGATTGAGCTGATCGCATGGAGCGAGTGTGCGTTGTCTTCTTGATCTGATCGCATGGAGCGGCTTTGGTGTCACACCTGTGGATGAAATAGTTATGAATGTTTTAGTTATAGAGATGGCATAGATGGTAATGATGAAATAGGTACAAAGGTATTGTGTGCTAGTTTTTTTTACATAATGACAATATTTGGCAATTTATGAACATGCATAGGGACAATTTGATTTTATTTTCTCCGGTTAATAATGTGGTAGTTCCTAGGGAGAATGAACCTGGAGCCTTCTTTTGTTGACAAAATACTAAAATAATAGATATGCCCATTTAACTCCATGTTGAAAAAATTCTAGCTAGGAATGACTAGAGCTATGTCAAACAAACCCATAGTCAATTTTTCTTTTTTGCAATTTTTCAACGGCATTTTGGGCCCTTTTGGCAACTATAGGCCAGGATCGCCTGGTTACCGTTGGTTATCCGAACTCTAATTGCAAGGTAGTACCACCACATAAGAATATGAGGACATCAAAATCGCTTAGATCCTATTTCTTCATTAATGCTAACAAATGCATTGCATGTCCTGATGCAATAAGACTATGTGCGTGGAAAGCTAAGAGAGGCCTCGTTCACTTTGCAAAAAAAGTGAACCCGATGAATAGTACCACTTTCGTTTTATTTAGACAAATATTGTTCAATCATGGACCAACTAGGCTCAAAAGATTCATCTCGTGATTTCCAACTAAACTGTGTAATTAGTTATTTTTTTACCTATATTTAATACTCCATACAAACGGCTAAAAATTAATGTGATGGAGAGAGAGTGAAAAAACTTGAAATTTAGATGGCATCTAAACAAGACGAGAGTATCAAACAAGGACTAGAAATTTATCCCTTGAAGATGCAGGCTACAGACCTACAGTACAGCATCAAAGGTGTAGCCCGTGGTACTACGTACCTGCTCGGCGATCGACACGGGAGAATATAATATCGCTTGCGAGCCCTAACTACCTCCAAGATCAGTAGAGTGCAGTGGTGGTAGGCCTGTACTTTTATGGTGGCTCATATCATGCTCCAAGCAAAAAAGCGCTAGCTGCGCGCATAGATAGCTTTATAGCCATTGCGATTTAAGTTTAGGTTTATTTAGCTTCATTGGTTGAGACTCTTGAAAGGAATCATGGCTGAAGAAGAAGAAAAAAGCATGTGCATCAGTACATGCTAACATGCATCAAAAAGGAGGAGGGCAGCGAAAAGCACTAAGCAAGCTTGTTACGATGGATGGATATCTTTTTTTAGGAATGAATTCTCATGGGCATCTTTTGATGTGATGCAGGAATTGTGCAATATCGATCAGTCTCTCCTGAAATCATGGACATTCAACAATATATTATAAGTATAGCCCTGTGATACTAGTACATGTTGCTGAAAGGGGTGAATTATAAAATTGAAGTTGTGTGGAAATAAGTAGATAATTAAAGGAAAAAGGTACACAACGATGTTTCTTCATGTGCATTAATTATGTTTTGGGATTAGCAACACTTCAGAACGAACTCCCACGCTGCCACGCACATCCGTCCTAAAACAAGACTCTATATCCTGAACACCTCTACGTACTCCTACAAGAAATTACGCTTGCGGATTTATAGCAACTCCAAGAGTCTATAAAAATTCAATCTCAATACTCCAACGAACTCTCCAATTTTTATTCTCTATACTCAAATAGTTTATCAGATTTCTTTCTTATTATAAGAAAAAAAATTCATAAGTAAACTACCATACACTACATTAAAAGAGTCATGTAGCCTCTTAAAAAATGGAGAGCGAGACGGGTGGTTTTGGAGAGTGAAAAAGATAAAAAGTGGTTTAGAGAGTCTATTGGAGCATATTTTCTGTTTGTTTTTTAAATTTCTCCATAACGAACCATGTATGAGATATTGGGCTTGCTACTTGTCTCTCATGTTTCTCTTCTTCTTCCTTTATTTTCTTTCATTTTCTGTCCATGTATAAATATTGTTTGCGGGCTTTTTGGTGGCCTCAATTGTCCGTCCCTAAAATTGATAACTGATATTGTTATGTAATTTCCAACTACTTGTAAATTAAAAGTTCCGCGTTAGTCTCCCTAGTACAAAACAAGATGAAAACTACGCTGCACATCTCAAAACTAAAAAAAAAAGCTAAGAAGATCAGACATTGGAAGTCCTTAAAACTCCCACGTGCTATATAGTCATATAGAAGTTTTCGCAATTTTACGTCTTCAATGTAACTATGCAATGCAAATATGCAATGATGAGTGAGAAGACTGCAAGTCTGCAATTGTGTCCTTGCTCACACGCCTTCTACAGTTCTACTGTCATGTTTACACCCATCAAGCGTTATACACTGCCAAACATAAAACATCTATCAGCAGTATGCAGCACGTACAGGCGGGCAGTACTTGGTGCTCTGTCTTTGATGCTCGCATGATTCAGCTTTCGAAGGGTCCCAAAAAAGCCTTCCTTGTTGGGTCTTGCACGCAGCCTTATTCCCGCTTTGACACCCTGCGTTCATGGAGAGCAACATGACCAAACTGCCCTCCTCCTGTCCAGGCTCCACACGCTCCAGAGGCCGGACTCCCCTCCTTTAACTAACTCCCAGTAGTGCCTCCATGCCGTGGAAGCTCCGGACTCACTTCACTTCTTCCCCATAGGGGGAATGTAGTGGTAACATCTTGATGTGACCTCACCTCACCTCTCCTCTCTCAGTCCGACCCTGACTCCTGTCTCTCGAGTCTCGACGCCACTTGGTCCGCGCCAGCCCAGATGTTTCTCCACTCCCTGTTGATGCAAAAAATGGCAAAGAACACGCAGCAGCCAAGGTACATTCCCTGTTCATGCATGCCATGGGCTCTCCGCTGTCACCACCGCTCGAGAGAATTTCGTATCGACTGACGTGACAGATGCTTTGCCGTGCATGCAGAAAAGATGGCGGCGCGAGATCAGGTGGTCTGTCGTCCAAGAAGTCCCGGTGGTACCAGCGCGCGGTGGAGGTGCTCCTCCTCGTCTGGAAGCAGCCGGCGGCGGCGGCCGGGGCCGGGGAGTCGCCGACGAAGGCCGCGGCGGCGTCGGGGGTGATTACGACGGCCGCCGGCAAGGGCGCGGCGGCGGCGGCGGGGCCCGGGAAGCTGCGCAAGTCTTCGTCGCTGAACGTGGCGGCGTCGTTCACGCGGGTGTGCCTGTGCGCGCCCATCTCCTCGTACAACAGCGAGTCGCTCTACTGCTTCCAGGCCGACGCGGCGCCGCGCCGGAGCTACAGCTACCCGCGCGCGTCGTCGGCGTCGGCGTCCGGGTGCGGCGTGAGCCCGCTAGTGGCGCCGCCGCCCGGCGCGGCCGAGCTGCAGCACGCCGCGGCGGGCCGCGGGGGGAGGCCACTGGCCGCGGGCAAGGGCGGCGGCGGCGGCGAGCTAGGCGGCGCGCGCCGCGTGTTCCGCGGCAAGTCGCTGACGGACGACATCCTGATGCGGCGGTTCGTGGTGGACGAGGAGGCGACGCGGCGGCGCAACGAGATGGAGGTGATCCGGCGGCGCCACGCCGCGGCATCCAAGCGCCGGCGCCTGGGACCCAGCCCGCTCCGCCGGATGGCGCTGGCGGAGTCGGAGTCGGAGGCCGACGCCGAGGAGGAGGCACCGGAAGCGCCTGCAGCAGCAGCTGGAGCCGGGAGGGGAACGGACAGTCGCGTGGCAGCTGCAGTAGCGTAGGCGCGTAGCATGGCGGAGCCTTTTTCCCTGTCCTGTGTGCTTTCGATCGGCTCGCCGTCGCCTCTCTGTTTTTTCCTCTGTCGTTTTCCTCTTCTGCTGTTGCTGTCTGTCATGCGCTGCGAGAAGAAGGAGAATCTGGAGCAACGTACGCACGGTTTTAAACAGAATAGTAGCCTCTGGCAAGCGCAGCTAGCGTCGGATGCCGACGACGACGACGACGCGCCTCCCCTGTGCGCCTGTGACCGCCACCACGTCCGCTTCTGGTTCGTTTCGTTCGCTGGCGACCTGTTGCGGGCGCTCGGGCTGCGGTTGGTCCGTCCGCCGAAGCCGACGACGCCGACGGGGGTTTCGGTGCCATTTCGCCGTGCGGCACCAGACGATCGGCGGAGTAAATGAGCGCGCAGCTTGCCAGAACCCGGCGCAACGGCTAGCCGCGATCGAGCGCGGGGGGACCAGTGCCTCAGGCGGACGGGCCCGCGAGCCAGTGAGGGGATCCCGGGGGGCTTCTAGTGGCCGTGGCGGTTGTAAATGCGTGACGCGGTCGGTGTGGCTCGTCTGAGCCGAGACGATCCGTTGGGTACGGTACAGTACGGCAGGTGGAGTAGACTGACGCGCAGTGCGTGCGTGTACGCTCCGCACAGTTAAGGAGCAAACGGTCCATCCAAATCAAACGAACGTCGCTCGCCGGTGGCGCGTCACGGTATTCCTCTCGCGAGTACGAGGGGAGGGGTTCACGCCTTCAGGGCTCGTTTGGGTACCCCAATACCCAGAGGGATCCCCGTCCAATCCGCGGGTGGAGAAGCGCCCGTGCGTTTGCTTCCCCGTCGATCCCCGGTGCCCATTTGGAATCATCGCGAGCCAGAAAAGGCGCGTGCCTTCTGGACTCTATCCGCGTCAATCGACGGGGAATAGAAAAAACTCCTCCGCACCCGTTTATTTCTTTCCCCGTCTCCTCGGCACTCGCTCGGTCCTCCTCGCACTCCCGTGTCTCCTCGCCCAGGAAAGCATGGCGGCTAGGGTTTGAGCGCCGCCGCCTCCATCGCTTGCGCTAGCCGTTGTCATCCCAGCCCGTCACGGCGCCGCCGCCGCTGCTCCCGTATCCTACTCGTCTTCGCGCCTTGTAGGTCCTTCCCCGTTGAGGCACTCGTCGATTTATTTCCCCGTCTCGCTTGCTTTCTTCTCGCCCGTCAGGCGTTCACTCCTTCTTCGGTAGAAGGAATCCATGGCGGCTAGGGTTTGATCTGTCATTTGCTGCTCCCTGCGTCACCAGGCCGCTTTAGATCCGTTCGAAGAAGCGCGAGCCCTCCAAGAAGCGGGAGATCTGCAGGGAGAAGTGGATCTGCAGCGGCCGCCCCCGTTCTGTCTCGCCAAGAACACCTAGGTACCATCGTCCTAGAGCACGTCGTCACTCTCCAGGGCCGTGTCTTCGCCAATTGTCCTGCCGTCCGTCGTCGTGGTGAGTCTCCATGTCCCTTTCCCCTCTGTCTTTCCCAATCTTGGCTCCGTTGTTTCTTGTTAGATCTGTCGTGGGAGAAGTGGATCTACAACTGCAAAATATTATTTCTTATTAGATATGTTGGTCTTCATTTCTCTGCACTCCCGTCGAAGAATTGGAGGAGCAGTTTGGGACGACCGACAAGGCGCAGCAGGAGCAACAAGGGAGAAGGGGAAAGGAGAGGTGAGTGCCCGGCTCTGTTCCTGTTCCCGTTCTTGCTACTTGGACTTGCCTGCTCCTACAGTACTTTGGATTGCACGCTATTCTCTTCTAGACTATTCTGGAATTTCTAATTCCATCGTGGATTACATGCAGTGTAGTATAGGGTGTGCATATTATTTGGTTGAGTTCTGAATCTTATGTTCAGAGTTGTATTTTTCGACTGATAGTTAACCAAAGCATAAATGTCACCAATCACCAGTAGCATCACTGTCTTTGTCGAGTGCCAATAATCACACTGCTGTTCTTTTTTTTAAAAAAACACCTTGGTCAGGTGTTAGTAAGCTTTTTAAGTATCTGAATTAGCTTTAGTCTGGGTTTACATTGCACCATTTTACAAATATTACATTGCATCGACTAATAGTGTTTTTTCTTCATCCAATTGCAGGGCTGATTCTATATGCTCTAGCTTGCTGATGCTGGTTGTGAGGGATAGAGTGTAGTGCAGTTATGCCGAGACAGTTGTTAATTCTACCTAGTTATGCAGCAAGATTAATGTAATATGTACTTTTGTCGTAAACCTGTGGACTCTTGTCTGTTTTCTTGGGTTGCTTAACACACTCATCTAAAGCCAATGGTGATGACCAGCTGTGAGATGAACCTATGTTCTCTTGTATTTTTGAAATCTTCATTTTTTTCTGATTTTTTTGAATATTTTTTGTCTGGCCGGGATTTGTATCCCGATGATTCTCAAACGGTAGCCGGTAATTTCCCTCCAAGGGAATTCCGTCTCCAGGGAGGGCAGGGGTGGCAGGTGCAGTGGAAAATTCCTCTTGGGGGCTCAAACCCACGTGCCTTTTCCACCGCACTATCCAAAGGAGCCCTCACGGGCCCGGCCGGCCGCCGTCGCGATTCGTTCCTCGGCTCTGTACGTCCGCCGCCCGCGACAAGCCAAAATAGCGTCGGCGGCAGCTGCTGCCGTTGTGTCGTGGCGTGTCACTGTGTCAGCAGGGAACCAGGGTGCCATAATATGGCACGCGCAGCGCGTGTTTTGGTCCCTCCGCGGCATGTGACATCCCGTCACGTACCAACGCTGAACGCATGTTGGCAAATGCCATGGTGCATGCGGCGCTGCGTTTCACGCAAAGCTAGCGCGCATCTGCACGCCACATGCGCCCGCACGGCAACGCAACCCGCGTAGTGCCGTAGTGCCATTTTCGAACGCAAGCTGATCACTGAGGTATTGTTGACAAGCGTTAGAATGTTATACATCTCCAGGTGCTTATCTCTGCGGTCTCCACCATGCGTCGTCCATGCTGTATTCTTCAGTGGCGGATATCAGGAACAGCGCCACTATAGCGCGTCCGGCAACAAGAGTCAGGACTCACATGGATGTGCAGGGTTTGTTCTTGTCGGTATTAGATACCCGGAAGAAGGAAGCTGATGGCCGCCAACGTTAACTCATCCCGATGGTCAAGAGCATATTTTGGTCTCGTCCGACCCCGAAGGTACGGGCTCCGTCTCGCCCGACCCCGAAGGTGCGGGCTCCGCGTCGACCCGTCTGACCCCGAGGGCACGGGCTCCGTCTCTCCTGACCCCTCGGGCGCGGACTTCGCCTCGCTAGACCCCTCGAAGGGGGATTCCGCCTCGCCCAACGCGGATCCGTACCGCCTCCAACCACTATGGGTCTAAGAGTACGAATCTAGGGTCAAACTTCTGACACCAGAAAGGGAGTAGGCGTGTCTTGACGTGACCCACGGCCACGATGGTCCATATCTGAGGACTCACGTCACCAACAGTGTCGGGCGGGCCAGCACTATGCTACCTAATCCCCGTACGACTTCCGACGGGAGTATCTGCTGACCATGTTGCCCGCCGAGACAGAATCGAGCGCCACGACCGGCTGACGACGCCCACGTATAGCGCCAGTGATGAATAGGGTCGCGATGTGGAGCCGTCCCCGTCATCATCTACAGGACCGACGAGACCCGCATATAGGAGATAAAGGGCGCCGCGACTCCGGAGGCCTTCTTCCTCCTGGTTTTTCTCTCTTTTTCTCCCCTGTAACCTACGCCTTTTCCTTCATCTATAAAAGGGGAAGCAGGATGCCCCACAAAGGGCACGGCTGAGGGAGTTCAAGTAGACTCAACTCCATTCGATCCTTCCATCAGAGACTTGGGACCTTCTCTTACTCTCGCCCGTTTGTAACCCCTACTACAAACAAGTGTCGGTAACACGAGCAGCCTCAAACTGGACGTAGAGACGTTCTGCCTGAACCAGTATAAACCCTTGTGTCCTCTGAGCACACCATCCGGGCTAGACGCGCAAACACAAATTTACTAGTCGGCGGTTCGAAATACCGACAGTTGGCGCGCCAAGTAGGGGCCTTTTGTGCGTCTCGTCGTCCACAGCAGGCTACGAATGGCAAGCCACGACGTCAGCTAGGTCCCAGGCGCGCACATGCGCTTCGGGAGCCTGGATTTCTTCGTCACCGCAGAGGGAGAGCTGGCGTGGGCTCCAGTCCCCGTCCAACTTCTTCGCTCCACCAGCCTAACCATCGAGGCCCTCGAAGAGCTGCAGCTGCACTACCCGAAGGCCTGTGCCCCCGGGAGCAACCAGCTCCTCGCCTTCGATTATGGGATGCTGGAGCACTAGCTCAACGCCTTTCTAGGACCCCGATCGTCCCGGGAGGACCTGCGCTGCCTCACCTTCTCGTTCGCCGACGTCATGACGTAGCTTGCCGGAGGGGAACCGCTCTCCCCAAAATACCTCACCCGGAGCGCCCCGACAACGTTCCCGTTTGGTCTGCGCAACGCCGCAAGGACCGTTGGTCACCTCGAGGCACAGCGCATGCACCCGTCCCCCACGAATGACGAATTTGTGGGTATGACGGACTATGTCACGGAATCCTTCCACGACCTTCTCGTGGGAGTTTCAGAAACAATCTCCGACTCTGACTCCAGCAGGGCAAGCCATCACCCCTCGCGAGAATGCTTCATGGCAGGCACCCTCGAGGGACGTGTCGAAAGCGTCCACAAGGGAGGGGCTACTCCTACGGATTACCCCGACGACGAGGTTGAGGGAGATGTAGGGGCCTCGCCTCGCCTGCGGGTGGAGCAGCTGAGGGCATGACACAAGGAGATCGGGGATGCGCGACTCTAGCTGGAGCAAGAGCGTGTGGAGCTCGAGCGCGAGATCAAACGCTGCAGAGACCGTGGTCGTGTACGCGCCATCGCCCGTGACGTAAACCGAAGGATCATCGAGGATGACGGAGGCCTCCCGCACTTCACCCGGGCAAGCCAGAACGTAGATGCCATGGCAGCATTGCTCCGAGGGCTCCCAGAGC